TCACCACAAGCAGAGCCAAGCAGAGGTAAAGAAATCGCAAACCACCCAGCGTGAGGCCTTGGACTACCAACCCAGCTGCCTCCATGGTCAGCAGACTCATCTCTGTCTTCCCAACGGAACAGCTTCTACTGCAGGACTCAGCTGGGAATGTTCACACATTCACTGCACATCTCGGCAGACCCATTCTGCTAAGCTGCTCTAAGAGATGTGTATTCAAAGCCCGGACAAGAGGCCTGGACAATATTCCAAATTAAATTATACTACTAATATTTAAACGTTACATAAGTATTTTCAAGTGTGGAAACATCAGATGAGCTTTATTTCCAGTAGAGCTCCAGTCAGTTCCTAGGCCACAATCTGAGCAGAGAAGGAGCACAGAACTGCCACTACCTGAGGTTGATTACGTTGATTAAAGCAACTGAGAACTGCAAAATCGGCAAATATTGTGACAGACAAGCCTTTTCCCTGTTCAGTGTAAAGTTTTACATGGGGAAAAAAAACAGTTTTTGTAACACTTGCTGTACATCTGCCACGTCTGCTTCGCACCTGCTTGCAGATAAAGTCTTGAGGGATTCTGTCCCTTCCCTCTGCAAGCGTCACGACAAGCCTGCGTCTGTTCGCTGGGCTCCGAGTCCCAGTGCTTCCCATCGATGTTCACCGCAGCTGAAGACTGGCCAGTTGGGCCTCCACAGAGCAACTGTGGCCTTCTCCTCTCCCAAGCAAAGCCACTGGGACACCAGCTCAGTCCTGCTAGACCGCTGTCATGCCAGGATGAGTCCCCAGGAAGAGCAGCAAGTGAAGAGCCAGGACTTAATCAGTGTAGCACAGAGCTACACTCACTAAACTCACTACCAATGTAGCCCAGTAGGGACTAGACATCCCTGCCTAGACCATCCATGGGCTCCCCATAGAATGGTCTGTCGTACACAACCCGTAATGTATCTCTGTGCACACCTGAGCCACACATCCTGACATCCTCCAGAGTTATCTACACAAACCTTCGACCAGAGAGGACTGGGCTCCACTGCTGGTGAGTCCACAGGGTTGGTGCCCTAGCACAAAGGCTTTCTTGATAAGTGGATCATATTCGTTCCTTTCTGCATTTTAGTATTTTCACTGGGCTTCACATTCAACTACGAAATGTTTACTACTTGGAGAACCTTGGATGTTCAGCAACAAAAATGGGTGGATTCTTCCAGGGACTTGTTTTATTTTTTTTTAAATGACATGTCTGTAGTGAACGGATAATAGAAATAGAAACCCTAACAAAATATTAGGGTTAGAATAATGTGCCCAGTTAACTCTCTAATGAAGGTTTTGGAGACTAAGCAACAGTTAATCATGTAGATCAAGATGACAGTATAAGAGCATCAACCAACAATCCAAAATCTGTATACCTACACTATATAATCCTAAAAATAAATTTTATACTCTTTTTATGTATATTTTGATTCTAAGTATACATATTGGTCAAACTGTATTATTTTTAGAAAGGGATTATAATACAATTATGTTAAAAACAAAATAGTGAAATATTCTTTTTGACACAGGGATTGGATCATTTGCCCTGATCCATCGCACAGAGGTGCATTCAGATGCACAGAAAAATATTTCGCTTAGATCAAAGTCTGTTCATGTATGCATAAATATAGGACAGAAAGGGTTAGTTCTCTGTCTTGTGCAGGAGAAAGAGAAGATTCATTGGTAGAAAAATGGAAAAACTAGCTAGGAGGTAGGGTACACTACACTGCAAAACTAAAAGTTAATTTTACTTTAAGCAGTCTAACACAATCTGTCACGGTGAGGGATTTACTTGACATATAGCACTGAATACACCAGGTATGTGTGTGTAACTGAGGTCCCCACTTACCATACAAATGCTCCTCAAATGTTCAATAAAACTGCACGGAAATGTGCAAACATTACTAACCTCCCAAAAAATCAGGGTGCGCGGTCAACTTTGAACACAGCTTGTATAAAACGCTCCCTCACAAATCCAAGATGCCTGGCTGACAGGAGGGAAAGACTGACTGTCAAGGAGACACAAACCCGCTGGATGAGAAATCCTGAAGTGGGACGCATTCTTCCATTGTCCCCAAGAGCAGCCAAGTTAACAGCTTGTCTGTGCGAAGCCGGGGCATTTTAAAATGTCATAATTACTCATTCATCACTACAGCGTACCAGCGACAGAGGTGAAAAAATGTCCTTTATCTGTTCTAAAATAACCCGACTCCATCCATTCATTTTCCTACCACTTGATCCAGTGCAGGGTCACCAAAGCCTGTCCTGACCAGCAACAGGCACAAGTCAGGATCTGCGTGGGCAGACGGACACAGACACGCAAACTCTATCACCAGCGCCAATTTTACAGACATCCGTCAACCTTTCAGAACCTGCATGCCTTTGGACTATGGGTGCAAACCTTCACAAACCCTGAGAGAACATACAGTACAAACTCCACACAGACAGCAAACCAGGTATTGAACTGCACCATCACTCTGCCCATAAACCTTTCTCAACTACCCCAAAACAGTAGGTTTCCTGCAGTAATGTGTGGCCTCAGTGCAGGACCGATTGCAGAAGGCTGCTTCTTATATTCCAAGTTCCTGAAGGGACAGGCTGCATAATGCAGCAGAACCATATCAATAAACAAGATTACTTATCATGATGACCTTTGCACTGACCGCCTACTGTGTTTGATGTCTTCACCAACATCTCAAGTGCAGTCAAATGTATTTTTATAATGTGCTCTTCAAATTACAGCACTGCACAGAATCCAAATAAATCTTTTGGAATCCTTTGTAGTCTCTGAGGTAGGAGTCCTGCTCACACAGGTCATAATTCTTTTTTTACTCCTATGTAAGCCAGGTTTGGCTTGGCCTTGGGGAAAAAAAATTACAAATGGCTTAGCATTACTCCAAAATATAACAAACCGAAAAGAAAAAAAAATACATACAGGTTTATTTCATATAAAAAATGCTTTCCGAGTTTATTGAAAAGCACTTTACGGTGTAAAGTCACATGGCTTTTAATCACAACTCTGTATAACCACCCTTTTCCGAATCTGGGCGAAAGACCAGACAAAATAGGTTTATCTAAAAAATAAGTTTATCTCACAATTTTCCAGGACTGAGTCTCTTCGGAGACGATAACGGAGTACATCAAAACTCCAAGCGTGGGAAAGTGCAGCTGAAACACAAGTCAGCAGTTCTAACAAACAGCAATAAAGAAGAACTGGATTCCCAAGCGCGCAGCAATGGATACTCCTTTATCCAAGGAGTTAAGAGACTTAACGTCTCTTCACATTTGTCAAACAACTTGAATCGTATTGCGTCAACATATAGCAGATTTAGAAAAGTACAATTTTAATCTGGATTATTCATTTCATTCCCCTCTCTGGCACTAAATCAGAGTACTAAACGAGCGTGGTTAGGATCGGCATGTTTGATCCGTGTTTTCTCGCTATTCCTGGTTTTATTTGGATCTCATCTACCTCCCGAGAACCTAAAACTGCACCCATACAAGGAATTTGTCAGTGGTACGCGAATCAGAAAACAACACCGGACTCCCATCAGATTTCAATGCGGCTAAAATAGGAGACGGCAACTCTTTCTTACGGACAGCATATCGCAGAACAGCTCGTCAGAATCGTCTTGAACTCCGTTGCCGGATCAAGAAAGAAAAAAAGTATCACAAAAAAAAAAAGAGCATGCACCTGTTTTGAGAGATAACGTGGGTGTTTCCGCTGGCTTCACGGTGTTTGTCAGCGCACGGGTCTGTCCTAGGATTAGAGACAAAACTCTGTCCAAACCCTTTCCCGAGAATGATAACCCCCCCAAAAAAAGGCAGCTGTTATTGGATCTCGGATAACATTAAATCACTTTGCTCTTTATATGCCTACTGAACTGTTTCAGCTTGCCGAAGCGCCGTTACGCACAGGCACTTAACAACCCCCGCAACTTACTGCCGTCTTGTAATTGAATTTACAAAGCAGGTCTAAATCTTTTTAGACTCAGGACGTGCCCGGCTTGCAGAACCACCGCTACCAACGCAGCCCGGGCATCTCGGAGGCAGAAGCGCGGCGCGTCACCCGTGCCCACTGAATCACTCTGCCAGAAGACCCGAAGTGCAAAGGCTCCTGCATTTCTTCAAACTTTCTTCATTTGAACTTACCCCACGGTGTGGACCATCCTACTGTACGTCCGTCTCTCGGCGTATCCCCGCGACCCACTGAGCAAGTACTGTTACTGTAGGTTTAAGACTTTTGTCCTTTTATTCTATTAATAATCCCTCACATCCATGCTAGTAAGCACGAGAGAATCAAGTCAGAGAGGGGGGTGGGAATAAAAAGGGATTAAAAAAAAACTGGAGAAGGCTATAGCAGGGATCTGAAATTAGAAACTGGCTGGAGACGCAGCCCTGCACTGCCTCTATCTTTGACTTCAAATGACTGGGTTCCACATTCCTGCACAGCGCTGCTGGCGGGTGTCTGCGCCAGTGCTCGCCAATCACAGCGCTGCCTCTCCTCGGCGCTTTGGCCTTTTCCCAAAGCCGGGGAAATAAATCACTTTCGCTGTCAGCCTGTCTGTCCTTGACAGAATGGTTACACAATCGGGTTTCCTCTTTTTATACAGTGTGTGTATATATGTGTGTGTGTGCAGTACGTTCCAATCGCAAGATGGGCAATAAACAGAAAAGCCGCTATTAAAAGATAAAAAGGGTAATCATTATTCCAAATAACACCCATCTAGAGTCAAGATCATCCAAACCCTCTTTCAGAATTTTTTTTTGGGGTGGGGGTCCATAAAATATTTATCATAATGGGCAAATGGACCATGAAGTACCTTTATTGGAACACTTCTATTGTAGCCCGTGACATTACATTAACACACTGTACGGTACGTAGTCACTGAGGTGAACCTGCTTTGCAGCAGCGCGATCTCATGTCCTTATTTGTCTTGTATTTAGATTTCACGGCTTTTATTTTTACACAGTGGCAAACGGAGCGCAGGCCTGCGTGCTGAACGCGGGCCAAGCGACGCGGAGAAGCCGGCCGAGTGATTTTCTGGGAGGCTCTGCTGGAATGCCGTGGGCCCGGGCTGTCACGCAGCCGCCGGAGAGGGGAGCCCTGCCCTGAACAGAGCGCCCCTCTCCGACATCGATGTGCTCAGCCTCTCAGGTAATATCTGCATGCTTACAAAATGCCTATCGTTCAACCTGTTAAAAAAAAAACCCCGACTTGAAACGGCAAATACAGCGGTATTTTATTTGTCACAAAGCTTTCAACGATTTAACTTGGCTCTACATCAGCTCAGGGCCAATATACACTAGCAATACAAAATCCAGGAGTTAATCCAAATGTCTGACTACGTAAGAACACAATTATTATTCATGCGATAAATTCGTTGCCTATGAACTGTATTTAAAGATCAGACGTTTCAAATTAAAAATGCTGAAAACGCACTTATGAATGAATAATTTGTCAGTGGGAGGCATGGAGGCAGACTGGTTAGCATTAGTACCTCCCAACGCTGGGGTTCTGGGTTCAATTCCTGGCGTGCTGTCTGTGTGGAGCTTGTATGTTCTCCCCATGTTTAAGTGGGTTTGCCTCAGCTTTTGGGGTTTCCTCCCACAGTAGATCAATTTTTGTGGCTCTCCTGTGACCCAGAATTGGATCAAGTGGTTAGAAAATGAATGGATGGAATCTGTCAGCAATGGACTGCTCTCTTATACCCTTTATAAATCTGTCTTTTAATCAGATTCCAATTTGCCGTTGTGGTATCTCATCTGAACCTTGTAAAGTACTTTTGATCGATATTATATCTATAAGAATAGCATCTATAAGAATGATTTAAGCACAAAACTTACTGCACTGCCTCTGCTTTTGTTTGAACGGGAGAGCAGTTTTGTGGTGTTCTGGTAACTGTAAGGACTTTGTCAAACCACCAGTTTCTTTCACCCTTAAGTCACAGAAAGCACCTTGCATTGCATTTGTGTCAGGACCGATACAGACACAAGCACACAAGCCCTTGAATCAGTCTGGAAATTAACAGAAAACTCAAAGCCTCAGGGCCCATCCTGCTGGAGACTTCTACTGTATTACAGTACACGAGCTATTTAGGAGACTAAAAGCCATAAAGTGTTTAACATTCTGCGCAAAAAAAGACAAGTCTTGATTGGATTACTGCCTAATTAATACATATTTTGAGCTTCGTTGGAAATTACATTTAGAAACATCTACCGTATGTCACATTTCAACTGATTTGGCTGAATCCCTCTCAAGATGTACTATACTTTGTGGGAATAGAAAATTATATACAGTGTAGGCAGATTAACTGGAATGCAAGATGCATCTTATTCTCAAGGAGGGAAAGTAATCAATACCCTTAAAAAGCATGCGTGTGTGTAGAAGAAATAATAAAGTAAAATACTGTTGGACACATTTCAGTGGAAATCCTGTCTAAAAAGGTTTTTGTGCATTTATTTGAAAAGATCCCTTGTTCTCATTAAGTTTGCCATGCCATCTTCTACACACTATCAGTACAACGGGTTTCCCTGGAGCCTTGCTTCTCTAAGTGAGAGCTGTATGATTTAGCTACACACAAAAAAAAAATCCTACTTCTCCTTTTCGCAGAGAAAAGTCATTCATTCTGCTCTGTGCTTGACTGCGTAACTGTTTTACAGTAACTCTTGCATATGACAAAAAAGCCCAAGTCATTCAATGCTTTCAAAAATCCTAACAACCAACTAATTCATTTTAAAGTACTGTATGCCACAGACCCTAATGCACACCCCACTAGTCATACTGTGTGGGAATTGCTACAGACTCTATAAGCAAACTTTGTATTCTGAATTTACAGTACCTGGCACTTCTATGCATATGTTTTGCGAGTGCACAGAGGTTAATTGCTTTTGGGGTCACTTGATAATCTGAACTGTCCAGAATGATTGGAAGAAACAGACCACTCCATCCAGCTGTGTCTCTACTCATCGAGGACCCATGACTTCCAACTACAGGCGTGTCAATGGAAAATCGGGCTTGCTGGCTTGACTGCAGGAAAGCAGCTGATAGCACAGTGCTGCCTCCCTCCTCATAGCCTGCCAGTACAGTGGTGGTCATACTTCAGAGACACTGTGATACTGGAGCATGATACCACCAGAGTAAAGGTCACGAATACGCCCCCTGCGTATAACAGGGATCTCAGCCGTCCGGGCTGGGGGAGGTCTCCTTTAGCTCAGCTGGTAATTTCCCTGTTGCGTGACGCCGGAGACCCGGGTTCGTGCCCAGGCAGTGAGGGGCGAACTGGCAGGGCAGGAGCAGCAGGGGTGGAGACCCCCAGACCCTGTACACAAACACAAGGTTGGCGACCCCACTCTGAAGATCTGGAGCAGAGCAGAGAATGAAAGACAGGTGCAGATAGGGCGGAGCGGTGGCTCTGTGGCTAAGGATCTGCGCCTGTGACTGGAAGGTTGCCGGTTCAAATCCCGCGGTCGGCAGAGGAATCCTACTCCGTTGGGCCCCTGAGCAAGGCCCTTAACCCTAACTGCTCCAGGGGCGCCGTACAATGGCAGACCCTGCGCTCTGACCCCAAGCTTCTCTCCCTGTCTCTGTGTCTGTGTCTCCATGGAGAAAAGCTGGGGTATGCGAAAAGACGCATTCCTAATGCAAGAAATTGTATAGGGCTAATAAAGAAACATTATTACATTATTATTATAGATCCGATTGGCGCGGGGTCTGGGGGGGACCTGTTAAACCTCTTGCGTGTCTTATTGTTCCGAAGTTCCCTGATAACATCAAAATAAAAAAAACCTGATCTAAAAACATCATTCAAAATGGGTAAAAAGATGAGATGTGAGGATTTATAGAGGACTGACTAAACCTTTAAACCCTTTCAAAGACAGAAAGTGGACCTTCCCTCCAGGTATGTCTTTTGAACTGTATACATTTGCGGTCTAGGTAGTAATAGTCTGCCACACAATCTTCATTGTATTTCTTTATTCCAATATTTTTATATTTTTATACAAATGTAATGCGATTTGTACCTACTGTACAGTTATTTTAGCAAGTAATAAAAATTTCACTTGGCAGAAATCACATTTGCTTCAGATAAATGCAATTAATGCAGATCCTGCACACTATTGTTTAGAATTAATTTAATTTTCATCACGAACCATATGTTGGGGGGAATTAAATAATATTGATAATTTAGCAGCCTGGGTGAATAATGAAGTGCAATACTCTATTTGTCTGCTTTTGTCTGGACCTCAAGCAACATGGAAGGGCATTAGCTTTATTGAAAATTAAATTTAGACTTGCATTACTAAATCAAAGATTACAGAATTCCAAGGACCTCTTACCGTGCAGATCAAAGAAAAAAAAACACTACCCCTATTAAAAAAAAAAATCTGGTGAGAAGAGATGGTAGAAAGTATATCTGAAAGGGATGGAGATTCTTTTTTCTTGCTTAGAAATGGAAACTGGTTAACTAGTACAGTAACAGTTTCCCCAAAGGTCAAAGGGCACCGAAGCTTAAGATTGATACAGAACTGCTCCCACCATTCTTCAGCAGTAGTGGTTGGCAAATATAAATTTAAAAGCTCACACAGGATTACAGATTTATACAGTACAGTTACAGGAAAATACAGCAAAACAGGATTATCCATAATATAACACATCTTTAAAGAAAATGACATTGCAGCAACAGATATCACGAGCTGAAATAAAGTATTCACACAACTCCACTGCTTGCCCCTACGAACAGAGGTTTCACAGCGGTGAGAACCATGGCCAGTATCAGTGGGAGTTTCACAGTGGCAGAAAAGTTTAATTTTAAGTAATGAGTGAAACAAACCGTTAACAAAGAAAGCCATTGTCAAATCCACAGTCATAGAGCGTCCAATACAAGAACTTTCTGTGACCACACGGCAGATAGCTTTCGTACGTCAAGACTGGAGAGTAGTTTACTTATAGATAATAAACTGATCTATAAAGGCAAGCTGTAGCTTGGGTAATTAGTATGATAGACAAGAACAATCACGAGGGCCAGGTGAAATTGCTGTAAAGTAAAAAACGCCAATATGTCCGATGGAGCCTCTGACTAAAGAACCGACAAAACAGGCACATTGACGAACAGCAACAATTCGTGAAGAAGCAGAAGGTTTAGAGGACAAGGCAGTGGTGTAATCCCTGCTACACATGAGCTGGTACAAATGGCAGCTGCCCCAGAGAGGGCAGGGACTGTAGGGTGAAACAGTAAAGTTGCACCCATACTGGCCATCAACATCCAGAGGACAGATACAACCTGAAACAAATAAGCCAACTGCCAGATACTTGGCAAAGCATATGTACTGCTTTGTATCAGTCTGTAATCAGCTGCTACTTGGAAAACATGTACTGTACGAGACAGCAGGCTAACCACTGTCTATCCACGATTAGAAGTTGGGTTGTAAGACAAGGGTCTCGAACTCATCGGCTGTGGTGGACCTGATTTGATTTAAATGTACTGTACTTCAGATGGACTAGGCATACTATACATTATTGAAATACTATGCACTGCCATTACATAGCAATATTTTGTAGTGTTTTGTGTTTATTTTAGAACTAAATATGTTTTTAAATTACAATTTAAAAGTCATTGCATTTTCATTAAATCCCAGCATGGCAAATTTACTGATTACTCTTATAAACATGCTTTAATTTCTTGTAAGGTCCAGGTTTATATAAGCCATCGACATTTCAAAACACTGCAGTTTCTCTTCACAAGAACTCTATAGTCACCAGTATGCGGAAACCGGTTTTGCTATATACTGTATAGCTTTTTATTTTCAAAAGTAAAGAAGGTACAGTAGGTACACTTTGCCTTTTTGGAAGCAGGTATTTCTTAACTAGACTTATGATTTGTCTACCAAAAAACAGTAACACAGATGCAAACTATGGGCTGGGTGCCATTTGATGTGCACCTTTGGCACATCTTGTTGTTTTCAAGCTGCATTCAGAATTATCCACACAAGTAAACCAGTGAAGGACATTTTCCATCATTATGAAATCTCTGCACTGTAGAAGGCCGCATTGTATGCTTAAGGTGTTACAGAGAATGACAACTGGGATTAAGGAGCACTGCTGGCATATTGCAGATGTGGGTCACATGTTTAAAACTACCAGTTTGAAATGTTTGAATTACCAGAAGTTTTGTTGCCTCGTATTGAATGACGCAGAGAATGACAGTAACATGGCGCTGCTCATAACTGGAAATGTGATGTAAACTGGAGGTTTTACACGTTAATGTGTACATTTTACTTTCATTGTGGTTTGGAATTCACTCATCAATGTCGATTCTCTCTAACCCTGAAATATATGAATAGCGTTGCAGTTCCCCTTCAGAGAGAGTCTCACAGAGTCAGAGGAGGCAGGCAGGCACAAGAATACGCCTTGCTGTGTCCTCGTCAGAATGGGAACGAATCATCTCTCGGTGGCAGGTGGGCAGTACTGAGTCTGAAGAACTGAGCTGCTCCCTGGAAGGAAATAGCACGTCTAATGCTCTTTTTTTAGCTGGAGTTTCCATGGGCTCGAACATCCTGCTGAAGGTGAAGCTTTCATAAGCTCGGCGGTAACGTTTTCCTTCTCTGTGTTGATAACCTATACTAATCTGCAGTGCAGATCCAAGCCCGAGGCTATTTTCTGCAATTATTTTCCCTCCTTGAAAGACAAATGCCTCTCCATCGATACTTTCATGCTGTTGATGAGCTCTTCATTGCACAACGGCACTTGCAAAAACGCCGGTGAAGATTGCGAAGCCTCCTAACGCATCCGATAACGCAGCTGGCTATAACAAGATCTCAACTTTGAAATGGGTAGAGATATGGACAATATCACCAACCATGGATGGATAGCTGGGTGACTGGCAACTCGTCAAGCTTCATTTCTGTCAGCTTTGAAATCTGAGAGAATGTATTTTCAGCACCAGTCAGAAGCAGTAAACTCCTCCCCCTCCCAGAGATCCTGTGCAAGAGAGGACTTGTGGCAGTGGGAGACTATGCTGCCTTGTATTGTATGTCAGCACGTTTAAGCGTTTGTGAAGGGGAGCTGCGTTGTGCGAAACACCTTTCAAGCTTAGGAAAGCGCCCTTCATCGGGATACAGACGTCACTCTTCTTCATCACCAGTATTGTCTTGTGGGCAGACAAGCTGTCTTCTCACAATTTGAAGGCAGCAACCCTGTTGCTCGTGTTGCATTCAGCCTCTGACTAGGATAAGCGACACTGTCTTTCTTGCGTCTGACAACACCAGACAGCAGACAGTAGATGACTGTAGCTTTTGAGGCTCAGACATAAAGGGACTGAGGAAGCTGAAGCAATTGATCACAAAAATTAAATTTGAAATACAAAGTGTAACTGACCATCCACACGGGATTTTATGTTTTGCAATGTAATATCAAAGTTAAATGATGGAGACGTAAAAACATACTCAAACTTTGTCAAAGCAGGACCACCAGGATGGTACTGCAAAAACAAAAGGCAAAAGAAAGCTGTCCTTTCACAGACATGAACACACTTTGCCATAAAGACCCTGTTAGCTCTCTCATTTGGCTCACAAACACTCCCGGAACAGGTTGATACAGCTCAGGAGCAAAAGCTTCCTGTTCCCTCTGGTCCCCTGCCCTCTGCTTCCTACCAAACACAGGCACAAGCCAAACGAGGCTCTTACTTCAGCAGAACATAATAATAATAATATTATTATTATTATTATTATTATTATTATTATTAATTGCTTACACTTATATAGCGCTTTTCTGGACATTCCAATCGAAGCGCTTTACAGGTAATGGGGACTCCCCACCACCACCACCAATGTGCAGCATCCAGCTGGATGATGTGACGGCAGCCATAGTGCGCCAGAACGCTCACCACACATCAGCCATCAGCGGGGAGGAGAGCAGAGTAATGAAGCCAATTCATAGAGGCGGATTATTAGGAGGCTATGATTGGTAAGGGCAAATGGGAAATTTGGCCAGGACGCAGGGGTTACACCCCTACTCTTTTCGAGAAACGCCCTGGGATTATTAATGACCACAGAGAGTCAGGACCTCGTTTTTACGTCTCATCCGAAGGATGGCGCCTGTTTTTACAGTATGGTGTCCCCATCATACCGTCAACATAGCAAACATGCCCAAACCAGAGACTCACGGCACGGAGTCATCCATTTTCAACTCTTCACTGAACTTTCAAGAGAGAGTGAGTTCTTAAATATTAGCACAGCAAGTACACAGAGCACCAGTGAATGAGTATAAATATACAGTAGCAGAAATGGAATGCAGCACTGTAACGTGAAACATGAGATATTAAAATTCCAACAGAGGTCTTTAGCTTCACCATCCATTAGTGGCAGATCAGGGTTTGGTTAGAAATTAACAAGCTAAAAATTAAAGTATACACTAAAGTAGAAGAAGACTGTGTCTGGAATCTTTAAACGAGTAGTCTTCTTTCACAATAATCTTTTTAATTATTTTCCGAAAAGCAGGCTGAAAAAAATACCTTGTATATACTCAGCAGCACAAGAAATGCTTGATATAAAACAGCAGTAATCTCTAAAAAGCTGAAGAACAAATTAGAAATAACTTTAGAAAGCGAAGCAGAATTAATTCTGATCACAAAATCTATCATTTTATATAATGAGTCGGGGAATGGGTTTCAAGTGGCAGAACTAATTTCAAATGTTTTTTTTTCAGAATTGTTTCATTTCCTTTTCGACGTCTTGAAGATATTTTTTCCAAGACTTTCAAAATGTCTGTTTTTTTATATTTTGCAATTTGGAAAGGGAATTCTAGCACTAAGTAATTCTACTTTCAAAAAAGCTTACATGACGTCGGTCACATTTGGGAAAAGGTAAGATTCTGCAGGAAAAAAACTGCCATGCCACACAAGGAAGTACTGAGGAAAGACACTACATCACGAACACTCGTGAAGAACTCAGTGCTAATAACCATCATCCAAGATCACCACTCTGAACAATGACGATGTGATATTAAACCAGCCTCAGCAGGCAGGGAAGATGTTGTCTGTCACAGGCGAAGATTTACTGAGCCATACATCAAAATCAGTTTACTAGACCACAGATTACTGCTCAAATTTCTTCTTATTGCAACCCTGAACTGACAGTGGTGCCAGCGCCCTCTAGTCTTCCCCAAGCACTGCTTGCCATATGCGCACTTGATTTCCACCAATGCCCTCCACTCCAAATGACTAAATAAAAGGACCGGGCTATCTAACACAGAACAAAAAGGCACACAGCACACCACTTAGTCATGCTGCTGGACTACTCCGGTACAATACATCAAAATAACTGTCAAAACGAGTGGGAGTTTCCACATCCTCACAACCTACAGTGAAATAAAAAGTGCTGTTATTATTCATAACACTGAAACTGCTATAAAACATCATGTCCTTTGTTGGTGCTTCAAAACAGCAGCCTCTGTTATAATGCAGAAAAAATAAGTATCACTTCTTTAACAAGCGGTTTGTCGTTTATCACAGCTAAAAACGGGAAAGCTTTTTCATAAGATTTCAGACACTTTATTCTGCTGTCGTGTGCATCAGCATGTTGTTTTCAAACTTAAAAGCGTAACCCCTTCGTTTGTTTGAAGAGTTAAGTATCTTTTGCAAAGTAAATAGAATATGGAATAGATCAACAGCGCTATACTAAATTCAATTCAATTGTGTGGTCCTTGCACAAGGTTTCTTTTACCTGCCTGTCATATTTCACCTTTGATTTTGACTTGTGCCACTTTGATTGCCAGCTCGTACTGTAGTTTCAAAAGCTTCAACTAAAAAGGTGTAGATGCAGGGTTTTTAAGAGAAACTGACAACACTGCAACACCCTGCTGTGGTGGCCTATGGGGAAGCTGGACCTCCACACTATTTAAGTAGATTATCAGACAAATTCTGAAGTAGTTTTGTCCCCCCCCAAAAAAATTTTTACAATCCATTTCATGAATTTCATTGTCTCAAAATGTGAAAAACCACATAACAAATACGTTTCCCCTTCACATACTATAATATACTGTTCTTTGAACTTTAACATTTAAACTTCAATTTACAGTGAGGTGTGGAGGGTACCATCAAAAACTATGAAATGTTCGTAACCGAAGAGGAATTCTCACACAGTTCACGCCGGGAATGGCAAGAAAACCCACAGAGCTGCAGAATGACATTTCTTTTTCACTGCTGGAGTGACGGCGCCCGTATCTAACAGCAACAACCCTGATAAGTGACAAACTGACTACGGCTGGGAACATGCGTTCAGGTGATGCTGGCGAACACAGACGTGCAGTACTGCCTGTGGGAGAGATAAGATGAGGGATAGGGGTTTAATAGTTTTCTGTCTGACAATGTGATCTTATCTCTGACCACTGGAAGACACAGTTACCCATGCATCTCGCTTCCCTAAAAAGTACACTGCAATCTTACAATAGTCTTTTAGCCCAAGGGATTTACCTAAGAAGGGATGGCAACCACCACGTAGCCATGAGTGTTACTCTCTTGATCATAATCATTATAAAATCCTGGAATTTGAAGTATAGGTATGCATTGGTTTCTCTGTTTAAATTATGTTACTTTTCTCCAGTACTCTTAAGGTTTATTTTTGTGTTCCTGCTCAAAAAAACATGCAGCCAACAGATTTTAAAACACACTGTAGTAGAAAACAGCAGTTTTTGAGATAAAATAAATAGCCTCCATTGTTAGTAGAAACATGAAGTCACTCTGTATAAAATGTAATTCTTGTATGACTTTTACATTTAAAAATGAAAATTTACATTTCACAACTGAAGCTCAGCAGGACATGGTCAGTACCTGGATGGGAGACCTCCGGGGAAAAACTAAGGTTGCTGCTGGATGTGGTGTTATGGGGACCAGCAGGGGGTCTATGTGGGTCCTAATACCCCAGTATAGTGACGGGGACACTATACTGTAAAAAGGTGATTAAAAGATGTAAATGTTTAAACATGAACAAGTCTCTTTCATAAGAATCCTCTCTTATGATAGGACCTCTAAGTACAACCCATTCTGTATTTATAATATTATATTTTGTTTCATCCTATAGCATTATCCTTTCCTTGTCTTAAAGATAATGTATAAGGGAGCAGAGCTGGAGGTTCCACCTCATTTGATATGAAGAAATTTTATTTCATAATGTCATACAGTTAATCTTTCTTAGCAGTGTTCTCATACACTTTCACTAAAGCATCATCAAAACATCTCTCCTTAAAATGACCATCGCCTGACAAGACAGAAAGAGAATGCCCAATCACTGAACAAAATGAAATTCATCAACATTTCAGAAAACACACAGGTTTGTTTTCTTTCTTGAAACACACATTTCAAAAATGCCCCACATCGCACAGGACCTGTTAAGAGTTAACGTTTGGTGTAGGGTTAAGAATAGCACACTGTGCATATTTCATGAGTCACTGTATTCATGATATTTGGCGATTCGTTGCAGAGAGGAGATGTCTATACCACTACTGATCTCTAGTAAAGCAAGGCAAGGAAAACAAGTGTGGGGGGTTGGGCTCGTGTAATGTACTTGCAATTTCCCAGAAGATGCAACACCATTAATGACGCAGCACAGTGAGCTGCTGCTGATGGGTTTGCCTTAAAGCCAGTTTAAACCAGGCAAGGGAACAGATCTAAAAATAAATGGCACATGTCCTTAACCCTTTACCCAGAGAATGAGCCACGGGACAGTGTGATTCTGCGTGGCCTGAGACTCAATGTTAGGAGCTAAGAGTTAAGCACCACCAGAATTGCCACTTCATGACGGATTCTTGGCAGAACAAGTCAAGACTGAAAGCAATGGGAATCAGATATCACTCTTCATTAGGAGTACATCACACCCCACGCCTCACCACAGAACACAAAAGTCAACTAATGGAATAGAAACTCTTTAGATCATATCATATCTATTTGAGGTTGGCAGCTCTAAACAGCGGGAGTGAAACAAAGGTGGGAAATGTAGCAGAAAACCATCTGTTCAGGGAAATTGCCTGTACAGCCCTGGTACCGAGTTCTAAAGTTTCATTCATTTAGAAGAATTTCCCAGGTACAGTGGCTGCTGCGTATGTAAAAAAAAAAGACACACAACTGCCAGTCAATGTATGAACAAAAAATGACAAAAAAATAAATAAATGATTAGAGTGGGGAGCTGCGTCAGCATGCGAGGTGCGCAGGAACAAGTAGAGATTGATTCCATGAGGAAGTGTAAAAGAAAGAGCAAATCGTATTGTTTTAGCTGTGGGGCCTTCTTCAGGTGTCTAAAATCATTTTAACGTTTGAACTAAACAGCCTACAGTGCTTGAGGCAGTGCTTTGTGAACTCTCGGTTTATAAAAGCCTATTGCATCCCACGCACAATGTAAAAGACGCCGCAGGGGCAGAAAATTGCTCGCGATCGACAAACAGCTAGTGTGTGCTGCGTTGACGTTCACTATTAGTAACTGCTTATAATGACCTATGTCATTCTGGCCAAGGGGATGGTCTGGGCCGTTGTAAGAGAAGGAAAGGAATGTTTCCTTCTGTTCCACTCATCAGGACCCTCCCAGAAGAACTAGTGCTCTTCTGTCAATAATCACCTGTCCACCCCAGCCAGTGTTATGGTTCAAGTCGCTTCGCAGGCATTTTATGTGAATGTGTAACCCTACCTCTGTAATCCTGAGAGTGTCTTATGTACTAAATAAACATCATTTACTTTTTGGAGTGGTCTAAACTTAGGAGAGACCAGCTGATCAGATGTCCGTTCTCAGACGCCTGGATTTTGAAAGTCTAGGAGAAATCACAGCAGGAAGCGATGAGCGGGGTCAAGACCAACAGAGCTTCCCAGTGCTTCAGGCTTGAGCAGTGTTCTCCACAGGAGTGTTCATCTGAACTC